CCCAAAATGGTTCACCTGACAGCACAGGGCAAACTGGGGCTAAGGAGGAGACAATCCATCTTTTCAGACAGCCCAAATGAACTCAGTAAAAGCAGGACAGGGTTGAGAGAAAATGGACATCTGCAGGTGTCAACATCCCAGAACATGTGGTGGAATCACAGTGAAACCAAATGTTGAGCTCCAAATGGACAGACTGGATGAATGAATAGATGAAAGAAGAATAAAGTGACAGAGAGGCTGACACGGTGATAAAGTGAACAAACAAACAGTCAGAGACAGAAAGACTGACAAATGGGACGAGCGAAGAATTGATTTACTGGTTTGTTGGACAGGTGTCAAGACGGATGGACGGAGGCAGATGGAAACACAGACAGACAGGCCAACATAGTGTCAGAGAGACAGATAGACAGTGACACCCTGACACTGTCAGGGCAGCAAAACACTGGAGGGTACCCGGATAACATAGCGTGTGCCATAGCATAGAGTGGCGCAGAAATGAGTCCTACAACTCAGAAATGACATATGGTCTGTGATTAACACAAACTTAAGAGGCGTTCACATTTTGCTCTACAATATAAAATACATCAGTAAATTTCCCACTCCTAAATTCTGAAGCCTTCACGTGCCCTACAAAAGACAGGTAGCTAGTGGCTAAATGAGACGACAGAACGTCATCATGCTGAACACGGCTTTACAGCCTCTTTGTGGTGGCAACGTTGAAGCGACAGTGGTGTAGTTTGTTTATAGCCTAATGTTAGCTTTTTGATTCTGGCGATTGCATGTACGATTGAAAAAGTGGTTATTATTTTAGAAGATCATCTTGCTGAACAAAATGTGTTAAGTATCATAAACTCGTGTTTGCCATAGAGCTTATTTTCCACAATAATCCAAAATACAATGAAAAAATCCCATTGGCTTTCTGTCGAGGGAACCAGGGCAATGTTAACTTCCACGTTGGCTTAAAAAAAAAAAAAAATCAATTGCAGCACTCTATTGTTGATGATATGATAAAAAAAAAAAAAAAAAATCATATTGTGATGGCTGCAATATTCCAACTCGTTAACATAATGATGTCATACTGTTATGCACAGCAACAACAAACATGGCTTAAATCAAAATTGCTATCAGCTCGGTGGAGAAGCTGTTTCGAAGTACATGTAGGCTATATGCTAAAATGTGTAAGAACTGACTTCAGAATAAAAGCGACCTATCTTGTGAGCATAATAGTCAATCTCACATTCATTCAACAAGTCAGACAGTCAGTCTGTCAATAATGAATAAATCAGTCAATCAATAAATAAACTACATGATAATTAAAACAAGCAACTACTGCCTGCAAACTCAATCTCAGAGAAACACTGAATTTCAGTTGTGTAAATAACTAGTCAAACATAATTTCGAAAGACCAATGTGACTTCAAAATGACAGTTCACCACCTCAGAGCATCACTCCAACAATATTAGGACATTCTGAGGCAGAATTTCAAAAATATCAAGATACATATTGAATATTGCGGCACTGCCCAAAAATATTGAGATACTATTAATAAACTAGAGCACTCGGAGAGTGCAGACCTCTGCCAAGTAGCTCGGATTTCCCGCTATTTTATTATTTTATCCACTTCGCTTCAACCGATCACCACCAAAATCATTATCATCTGTTCCTTGTGCCATTATCAACCTTTCATCAAACTTTCATCAAAATCCGTTCAGAACTTTTTGAGTTATTTTTCAGACAAACAAACACACAAACGCCAGTGAAAACATAACCTCCTTGGCGGAGGTAACAATATCCCCAGCCCTACAACACTGACAACATCACACTGTACGCTCATTTTGTATCAAACCTATATGCTGCAATATCAACTGTTCCCAAACTGTGCAATGTCATAACATCTAGTAAGTGCAATTTTCCAATTTGCTTGCATTTTTGATAAATTAACAAAGATAAAGGAAAAGATTGCAAGAAAAGTTGAGCATTTCTCATAAGACACAAGAAAAGCTTAAGAGTACAGTTGCATGAAGAGGAAATGGAGGTGGAGATAATGAAGTGATTGACAGAGGGATTAAAATCTGTAATCCCAAAGATATGTATTAAATGTACTGTCATGTCTGTATACATATATATATTTGTGTATATACATGTGTGTGTTTAGGGGCTTAGGGATATATGAGGCAGTTTGTTTCTGATGAATGGGGATCAGAGAAAAAGAAAAACTCCAGGTTTGCATGGGTGAGTGAGAGAGTATGGCAGAATATATGAGTGAGTGTGTTTGTGTGAAATGTGGGGAGAAAGAGTGAGACACAGAATGAGCAAGTGTGAGAAAAGGAGAAAGAGAGAGAGAGACAGACCCAGAAAGATATACAGACGGAGAGAGAGAAGCCAGCTCCATAAAGACGTGAGCAGAATGCTGCCGATCTGAGCCAGAGAGGTGATATATAGTTTAGTCAGTAGCAGCGGGTCACGACAAAGCCTTTAACAGTAATGTCCTGGGAGTCGCCTCGCCCAGGGGACCCGCGCTCCATTTTACAGCCAAGCGACTGAGACTGAGGCGCTGTGGCATGACAGCTGGAGCAGTAAAGCCGGCCTCTAGTACCATCCATAACATGAAGGAGGCGTAGACGCCGCTGATACCGCCACAAAACACCAGGCCCGAGGCCACACCGACAGCTGGCGAGTTAAGAGGGATGAAGAAAAAAAGGGGGGGCTTGGGAAATGGTAGGAAGTGGCAGACGAGACAAAGGAGGGAGAGAAGGAAAAAAAGAGAAAAGAGATATATTTGCAGATTTAGACAGACACAGAAAGAAGGGGCCGGAGCTAAAGATGATCTACATCAAAGGAGGGAGTAAGAAAACAAATAGAGAGAAGGAGAAATGGGGAGGAGAGATAAGGTGCAGCTCAAATGGACAAGGTGCAGAATTCTAATATAAAATTCTTTCAACAGTTTCTTTCAGTGCTGAAATGACAGAAAATTAATCTTTAATAATTTGCTATTTGAGTAATTGTTTAACTCACGTGTAAAGCAGTATTAGGAAACACTGTCTCTGTCTCACATTGTCTTTTTAGGACTGTCAGCTGGACACAACAATTGAAGACATCTCATAGGTCTCCAGGATACATTACACAAACAATTAATTGATAATCGCACAAATAATTAATTAAAAATAGATTAAATGACAAGTTCAGTAATCAGTGTATCAGAAGGCAGAGAGGGGCTGATGGGCGAATGACTTGAACAGACTAACAAAGCCGTCTTCTTCAGAAAAGACAAAGACGAGGTGTTAAGGAGGGACATGGATGAAAATAATTTCTGTAGAAGAAAGCACAGGGGGGGGAAATGGGGAATGTGGTCTTAAATATGAGAACAAATGACACTGACAGCTCCACTGGCAGAGAATAGAGCCAATCAATCATCAATCACAACCATGACAAAAAATCAAAGTAAATGCATCAGTACTATGGACTGAAGCCCCTCAGACAGTAAGCTTACACACTGCTGAAGTGTCCTTGGGCAACACACTGAGGGACGAATTCACAAAAGGATTGTGTGGCTTTTGTGGCCACAGAATCAGCAAAAATAAAAAACTGTGTAATTCTAAAAACACTCAGAAAGGGTGAAATGCACCACGTCAAAAACAGTGTCTCCGTGCTCCTTAGCTATTTTCACATACTTGAATTTGATAATGTGCAAATATTCAGCCTAAAATTTCCCCTTTTCTCTGCAAATGAGACCTGATGTGAAAACGGTCCAATTCCCAAAGATCAGCGCTAGCCACACACAGTTTCAGTAAAATTATTAACATCTTCAGAGAGTTAGTGGTAAGCTTAATTGGCATCACAGTATACCAGAGATTTAAAAATACAGACGGTCCTCTTTCTATTTAACTAACACAGAGATGACGAATGAGGCGATGTAGTGCACAGCACGCGCCACCAGAGGTCACTCTCTACTGGTGGAACAGGCAGTTGAGCTGAGAAAGATGTTGATTACGGGTGGTAGGGATAATGCTACAGGACTGTGAAAAGTTGGCCAGCGATGGCCAAGAGAGACAGCAGGGAAAAACAGCATTTTCAGATCTTTCTCAGTGAACTATGGGTTTATTTTAACCAAACAAGACTTGATGATTATTGAAACAGTGACAACTACCTAGGACAGTTTCAATGAGTTTTATTTTTCTTTCTGTCGAGTTTTTTCATGACGGGTTAACAAGATAATTAAGCTCGTCTTAGTCTGTTGAAAGAGAGAAACTTGAATTACAAATGTGTAGATTTCAGTTTCAGTTTAATAAGGAAAATAGTTGAAACAATATTTCCTTTTTTTTATATTTTGTGAGTTTACTAGACTAAAAAAGCTAAGAGAGTTTGTGAAATGTGCAGAACCTGCTGCTGGGGCTGTGGGGGTATTACATTTTTTTTCCTCCATACAAATACTGTCATATACCATATACCCTGGTGAAATGTCAGGAAGGTATTAAGGTATGAAAAATAGATAATGCCCAAGCCTAGTTGGTGGTAACTGAAGTGCATTCATAAGAGATGCCACACCCAGCACTGCCCCAAATGTGCCTTCTCTCCGTCACATTTAAATACCTTGCCTGAAGTTTTGAGGATGCCTCTGCACCCCGTTGGTCAGGACCCTTTAGCCCGCAGTCTGAAAATTCTAGTTTTCTTATTCTCTCTGCTGGTGTTCTGCGTGCTTTGCTTTTGGCTCAAAGGCAATATTTATACTTTGCCACCTGGATAATTGCAATCAGACGCAAATAAGGGCAAATTGCTGCAAAACTTTATGGGTGTGTTTGTGTTTGCTTATCAGCACAACAATATCCTTTGTGAATCGGACCTTGAAAAAGGAAAGATAGCAGTTGCAAGTGATGTGCGATTCATAGTGTGATCCATTCTCTGTGAACTTGCCCCTGAGTCCCAACAAAAATCAATAAGGTATCACCGTTATTGTTGTAGTATAACAATTGTGCAGTATGACTGGGCAGAGAGACACTCACTTTACTTCTAACATAAGAGCCAGAATCCCAGCAGCGGTCGGAGCAGCACTGGATGTTCCTGGAAAGTGTGTGACACAGCCACCACCAATGTTGGTCACAGAGACCTAAAGAGACAACAATCCAAACATGTCACAAGATACAACTATATAGACGCCGTGTCAGTAAATAGAGTGAAAGATGGGCACGTGTTTTCTCTAACTGCTCATCTGAAACGGCTTCCTATGGGAGGGTTTTGGGATAGAGTACAGCTTTGCAGAGGAACATGTCAACACAGTTTTACAGTGAAGATAATTAAAAAAAAAACTTGGGTCTAGTCTGACCACCTCCTAATGCGGGGTGGAAAAGGGCAGGCATCTCAGCAGACAAAGGTGATATCACACTGATAAAATTGGCCTTTCTGTTTCTGTAGCCCTGGAGTTCTTCCTGTCTTTTCACTGTTACTGTACCTCCCCCATCAACACCTCGGCTCCTTCCTCTCCCTTTCTCAGCCACTACAGCCATGCTTTACCTCCAATTAACACTCGTTTGCTTCTATGTGTCTGTGTGTGTGTGTGCCCAGCAGTCACCTAGGTCATTTGGCAGGCCTCTATAAATATCACACCAGTCGCTGCTCTTTAACAGGCTTCTCACAGCTTACATGAGCCAAAGAGCAGGGCTGCTGGCACACACACACACACACACACACACACACACACACACATATACACACTCATTAATGATAAACACTGTTGTTAGATGTGTGAGGCGGTACATGCACACTAACCAGAGGTAGTGAGCTTCCCACGCTGGCCCCTGTCAGAGTGACGGCCATCACACCGGGGCAGGGCTCGCCGAAGTAGGCGGGCTTTCCCAATTGAGAGACAGCACCGATGGCAATGTTGTAGATGGAGTTAACATAACCATCTGCACCGCAATGGTCACGCTGCATTCCACCATTACCTGACGCCCACACAAAGATGCTGCCCTTCCCACCTCGGCCCTGACAACACAAACAGAGAGACGTCAAAGTGAAAGAGCAAGTGAAAAGTGGATTTCATAAAGAATGTTTCCATCTAGCGGTCAGCAGAGCATTTCAAATAGCACATATGAAAAGAGATATCACAGTTTATAGTTACACAGGGCTCAATCACAGGGAAAAAAAACATAAGATTTCTTTGTGAAAATCCATATTTAAGATTAATAGACATTTTTTTAAAAGGTCGCTAGGATGGGGCAGGTGGTTATTTTTTGTTAGAGACAGTTTATGATGGTAACTTTACTCTTTCTATGTAAAGATGAAAACTCTTGTGGATAGTAATGGTTGTACCAGGTGGATATTAGAGAAATTGGTAATTTTTACCTTAAAGGGAATTATGCGTTTCTTTATTTTCTGTCATAAAATGTCACAATGTTGGATGTTCATATTAAACATGGCAAAATGTTCAAATAATGAGTTGAAAGTATGCATTAGTGATCCCTGTGAGCAAAAACATCAGGTTTCAGGTCGTTCCGAATTCTCTGTTTCCAATGGTTTATTCTACTTTGGCTCTAAGCTGATGTCTGCTCGTAACAGATTTCTTCATCTGCTCCAGACACACAACTGCAAGTGTTGACATTACATAGCCTACACTGCTACATGTAGCTACATGCTAACATCAGGGAAACATGTAGTCCTGGTTGCTGAAACTGTTAATTCCTCCCTCATTCCAGATCATATTCCTGCTGAACATGTCCAGTTATATTGTAAAGTCTTTCATTTGTGATTTTCAACTGGAGACAGTGTGCTATACACAGTCATTCCCTGGCTGCAAGTACACTGCTACATGTATTACGTGCTAACCTGAGGGAAAAATGTAATCTTGGTTCTTGATGTTAATTTCTCCCCAGTTTCAAATCATATTCCTGCTGGAACATGTCCACTTGTATTTAGAAGATTTTGATGGTGATTTTTCACAGAAAAAAAGTGCCACTGGTCTCTATTGCACTCATTCCCTGGCTGCAAGGATGGTGCAGAGATGCAGAAATGTGAAAGACCCAGAAATGCCGACCAATCAGAGTAGACTGAGCTCTTTTGGGAGGGGAAAGACAAAGGGTGCATACAGGTGTTCCAGCACGGACAGTACGAGGAAAAATTTTTGAACATTAAAATATCAAAACACGTATTTGTAGAAACTCAAAATACAAGTATGAACTTGAAAAAAAGCACAATAGGTCCCCTTTAAGTTCTGTTTTTAGTTGTTTTGATGTGTTGAAATCTGTTAATGTCAGCACCATATGGGTGAAAAAATGGGGAAGCATTACTCTCTCATATTTCTATAAATTCACAAGGACAGATTATACAAATCAAAACTGAAAGTAAACTAGGATGGATAATAAAGTGGGCCTCTGGGCTCATACATGTGAAAGAGGACTTATGATGTTCAACTGAGAAATTGTAATAACTTGTGATTTCAATCTCAGGGACTTCAGGGAGGCATTGGGCCCTTTGAACCCTTGGTCCCTAGGCCAGTGCCCAGTGTGTATGCTCAGTAATCCATCCACTACTCTGAATGAATAACACAATAGGTTTGTATCTCAAAACACCCAAGCAAGCTCATGCAATTGGAATAAACACCTATAGACTGTTGGAAAAATGAATTCTGTATAGCCAAGTTTTAACTGGACAAATTTTCAATTTCTCTAAATCCCTCTCTGATCTGAAACATTTCTATTCTGTAAACTCTTGAAAAGAAATAGCTGTGTATTTAAATCCATCTATATAATCTCAACACTCGACATTTTGCCCTTCCAATCTCAGCTCCACTGACAGTGAGGATGTCTGCTTTACATCTGACAGGCAGCAGTGTGAACTTGGAGATGAAAGCCGTGCCTTGTGAGTTCCTAGCCGAAGGGCTTGCGCTGTCAGGGTGTGCGGTCCGTCCATCTCGGCGCCGTTGTCCCGCGGGCCCCAACTGCAAACGTAGATGTCGATGAAGTGGATGTTGAAGGTCAGAGCTGTGGCCTCCATGGCATCAGTGACAGTGCCGTCCAACAAGCGGATACCTGGACGGATCGAAAAGGTCACATGGATCAGAGTTTGGAGGAAGGCTTGTGGAAAAAAAACAAAAAAATGACATTTTTCAAAAATGTACCAGAATTTTACATCCTGGTGCTGCTTCAAAACAGACAAAAGGATTGTGTTTTATGTTGTAAAAGTTAATGTGATATGGCCATCTACAAAAAGTTAATACAGTAATAGAGCTGCGACACAATACTGGTGCAAATGTCTGTATTTGTGTTTTATTCTGTGCCTATTTTATCGTCTGTTTACTCTTCTTTCAGATAACACTGTCTCTGGGTGTACTTCTTTGCTCTCATCTCCGTTTTCTGTCGCCGTATGACTTCCATCACTGTCTGTCTTTCTGTCTGCTCTTGCTATATTTTTATTTTTCTGCATTTCCTCCATGACTCAACGAATTGTGAGAATCTGCAAAGAAAGTGATGGCAGTGAACCTGGCCACTATCAGCTGTAAAATAAAACTGCACAATTTCTACCTTTTGTTTCTTTCTAAAAGTGGTAACTGGCTTTAGTTTAGCAAATATTGGCTCTTCAAGCTTGCTGGTCTGGGTCTGCATTGCTGACAAGCTATCACATTTTTGGACATAATGGCTTTTGGGTTGGGATTTTTTGCTGGATTATTAGTCACCAAGGGCCCTTTAGAAATATCTATCAGCCCCTATAGACTGAGAACCTGTGCTGGGTTTTTGTGCAAGGAGAGCTCAATCATTTACCAACTACCTGCAGCGCAAATTAGTGTTTGAATGTAAACTTGTAATGTAAATGTAAAGTTTAATCCATCTGACACCTTTTATAAATTTGCTCTTCAATGCATAAATTCAGAAAAGAAAAATGAAGGCATTAGCATTCATTTCATATAGGCCTATGATTTATTGGAGTGACAATACTGCTTGCAATACTTGCAACATGAGTGCAGCCAGAGCAGCCTAGGTTGCCATGCAATGTTATATTTTGACATCAGTGGATGACCAAATAACTATAGTGAAAGAAAGCTGAGACAAGTATTCTCTTCTATTCACCTCCAGGGAGCCCAGAGGGCGTCATACTCACTTACTGTGCTATCAAAGTTGAGAATGGCAGCAAAAATAACACCCCAATATGCGGCATTCACATAGTACATGGTTGGAATTATGGATTACTTCACATTATGCAACATCTTGTCAGTCTTCTACTGAAGCATTGTAACAAAAAGAGGCAGTGGTTCAGGCTGAAGCCAAAAGTGTGAGACTTCATTTTCCAACATGGAGACTGGACACTTGCCGTTAACACAACATTCAAAGTATTACATCACCTTATAAGTTGATATGGCAAACTTACAAATCCAGTAGACACAGAGCAACATTAGCATCAAATTGTAGTTGTAAGTTATCAGAAACATTTCATCTCATTTAGCTCTGTTTTGGTTCCTACCAACTCCCATTATCACAGACAGCTTTCATCCCTCAAATGGACTGATCAACCCACTGCCGTCGAGAACAAGGTTCAGCAGCATCAGGGTCAGAACAACAGGACTGTGCAACAGCTTCTTCTCACAGGTCGTTAGGCTACTGAACTCTTACTCCTCCCTGCAGACTGCTGCAGACACACACAAATGGTCTGACAAAAAGTCAACTTAATACTTCTTGTGCTACCGTGAAGTGCTGTGTTTGTGCTTGTTTTTTGTCTTTCTTTGAGCTGACGAGCTGACGCAGCTCCGCAGAGCTGAGGGGAACTGCAGAGGTGATGATTCTTTTGGATTTGTTACTACAAGTGACCCCTCTAACATACAAGAAGTCATGTGACCTATTATCATTACAAAAATACTGACCTAGCCACTTTAACACTGCTTAACTTAACATGGCGGATAAGCCGCTAACGGTATATAGTTAAAACAAATGAGCACCTTGCAGACCCCCTGATGGAAATACACATAAACAAGTGTGAATTCCCAATAGCTGTGACTTACATACTTAATTTCTTTTTGGGCACAAACTGTGGCTGCCAAAATTTTTGTGGACAGACCAACAAACCAATCAACCAACTGAGAGAACAAGCTATAGAGCCGTTGCGGTGGCAATCAGGAAGTAGAACTGCAATATTAGGTTCTCATCCATACACCTGTCTGACCCAATCACGAGCAGTGCCATTGAATGCGATCACACCAGTTGACTACCCTGGAAACCCAGAGTTCTCGCGAGAGTACAATTTGAATTTGCTCAGCGAGTCACTCTGGCAATCAGTAATGATGCTCATCACCCATGCCGCTGGAGCCAAGCTGCACCAATCACATCGGTGTATCTGATATAGGCGGGCCAGAGGCGAGCTAAACAGATGACGACAGCACTGTGACTATGAAGTCTGAAATCAGTCAGTAAACATTGCAAGATGGCTACGGATGAACACCACTTGTTTGAAATGGCTTTAGCCTCTACAATGAACGAGTTAGACTTGGCTTTTTCTCTAAAAGAGGAACAGAAGACGGCGCTTGAATCTTTCCTTTGCAAGAAGGATGTTTTTGCTGTTTTGCCGACCGGATACAGCAAGAGTCTAATCTACCAGTTAGCTCCGCAGGTAGCGCTCTGGATACGTCACCCCGTGTATTGTTCTGATTGGTCGTAGTGTTATCCAATTGCGTGCAGTGATATTTTCAAATGCGTGCTTGGTGCCGCCCCTCGAGTTGGGCCATTTGCATTACTCATAGCCAGACCCTAAATCTTTCTAGATTTGGGTCTGGATTTCCAGGCTACCAGTTGACACAAACAGTTGCCAATCATGACATCACCCCCACTTTTTATAGCATCAAATCACAAACATCCATTAAAAATGATTTATCAGGCTCAACTTGTTGTCTTTCATCATAGTCACTCAGTGTAAACTTTCAAAACAGCATCAAATCTAACAGGACCGCATGAATTCACCGAGAATTTCAAATACATTTTCTAAACACAAGCTAACAGAGAGGTAAAGCTCAGTCAGTCCTCATTGTCACGCAGTGAGCACAGGTCTCAACAGCACCCAGTAGTTCGACATGCATCTTTCATTTGGGTCTTGCCCCTTCATCTCCTGCGCGCCAGACCCTGTTTATGAGTCGGGATAAAATAGACTCAGGGAGGTGAAATTAAGACTAACTGTGGAAAGAGATTCCTGGTCTTGCCTCCCAAACAGTTTTTTTCTGTTTTCGTCGATTCTGCCAGAGGGTCTCATCAGCCTCTGACAAATGAGGGAGGGTCAAGGGTTAAAGATCACAGAGTTCAAATGTCAGAGTTCAACCAAGGGATTCCTCTATTCATACTCCATGTCTCGTGTTGATGACACCACTGTATGAGCGTTCATACAGCTGCGTCCAGATCTGAGTGCTGTGGGAAATTTTCTTACTCAAACATATCATGTACTCCTCATTAACTTGTGCTTTATAGCACTCTTAGAGTATCCTATAAAAATCTTTGATTTCACAACAGAAAATGGGCTATCTTGTGTATTCATCCCTCACCAATGTTACAACCAACACTAAAAAAGCCATTACTGAGGCTCCCACTAAAAAATGAGCTGTTAAATAGGGTCAGCACGGCTCAATAGCAGCCAGTCACCGTGTAGTCTCTCACTGTCACACAAACCCAAAGCCATACATGCACACGAAATAAATTACATACTCTTTTTCTTTCTCAAGAAATATTTAAGATCACTTAAAACCAAAACTTCATCTTAAAGACTTTCAAACAGATACATGATGCTACAGATACATGACTTCACAGTTGATGAGGTTGTTTTCAGCTGTAATTTGGCAACATAGACAAAACTAACACAGACTGGGTAAGGCTCTAGCAAAATAGGAGACTACCAGGACTACAAACTAAATCAACAATGATTTTCATCATTCATCATTTTCTGCCAAATTTTTAGAATGCTATGCTCAAAACCAACAAGCATTAAAATGTTAATTTCCATCCATCCATTTTCTAACCGCTTATCCTCTTGAGGGTTGCGGGGGGCTGGAGCCTATCCCAGCTGACGTTGGGTGAGAGGCAGGGTACACCCTGGACAAGTCACCAGACTATCACAGGGCTGACACATAGAGACAGAAAACTATTCACACTCACATCTATGGACAATTTAGAGTCATCAATTAACCTATCCTCAAATTGCATGTCTTTGGACTTTGGGAGAACCCCACGCTGACACGGGGAGAACATGCAAACTCCACACAGAAGGGCTCCCACACCTGGGATTGAACCAGGAACCCTCTTGCTGTGAGGCAACAGTTCTAACCACCAGACCACCATGCCGCCAACGGCATGCTTAGTTGTAAATTGCATGTTTTTCCTGTCAAAAAATGCAGCACTGGAAATGCTATTTATTTATTTGTTTGTTTTGTTTTGTACTGGAGATCACTGCAGAATGTGGGCCAAAAAATGAGTTTGAAGTATTTCATTATGACATCATTCAATGCATTTTGTTTAATTGTTTTTTGAGGTGAGGTTAAATCAGGTCTAGTTCAAAGGGTCCTTTCACAAATCACATTTTATCTCTAGAAGAATTAAAAAGTGAGAAATTAATCAATCTTTCATGTGCCCTTTTATTTTAATGATTTCGTTTTTGCATCAATGCAGAGAGCCAAACAAATCCACCTTGTTATTGTTAAAAATATTGTTCATTTAAGCATCGGTCATCCAGATTTTAGTTGCTTTTTTTAAGTGACTTCTTTTTTCATTATCACACAATAGTGGTTCCTTTTAAGAAATTAAAGGCCTACTACAAGTGTGTTTTGAAAATGCCATGTCATAGTCTTGGCCACTGCAGTATACACCCACAATGCACTGCCTCCCACTGTCTTGATGAGGCTGTATTGTTTTCCTCACCTCCGATCCTGGCATTGAAGGCGATGCCCACACCGCAGTAGGAGTTGTTGGCCTCCATGGCAACTACCCCTGCACATCGGGTACCGTGACTGAAACAGAGGGGGAAGATGTTAGCCACTTACTGAGACTGAATATGCAGAGATGTGAGTTTTCCTTTTTGTTGGATGTGTTGACCAGAGCACACCCCAAATTAAGCCTGGGCAGACAATTACATACAGTACAGCCTGCAAATTCAGACTGGTGGTTCAGACAAACACCAAGATATTGGAGACTGCAGCTGAAACCAAGGAAAGCTTTCTGCAGCTGATTTTCTGTTCATACACAGCACTGACAACACCGTAATATTTCTTGACTTGACACCACATGTATGTAGCTGTTTGCATTTACTACATTTTCGACATATGTTAAACATATTTACAGTAATAAACCAGTAATATTATAATGACTGTATAATATCCTTCAGTGGGCTAACTGACCATTTGTTAAGCATGCTGCTATAGTTAGGCTTGTTAAAGCAGGGGTGCAGAACTTCCACCACCCTCCTCTGTCAGTGACAATAAGTACATAAACACTGTTGACGCATGCAGGTGAGCCTGCTGCATCTCTTCCGCCCCCTGGAACGCTCTCTTCAATTAATTTTTTTATTTTTACTTTAATCCTTTCTCTTATCACAATATTCCTCTTACCACATATGTTTGTTTTTTTGTTGTTATTTTATGGAGAATCCACTCCACAAACTTTTCTTGGACGCTTCTTAGGATTTCCCGCCTCTACCCACATTAGCTACTGCTCCGTCTCTATGGTCTTTCCCCCTTCCTTTAAAAAAAAAAACCCCAACTATTTCTATCATACATGGTATGGGATGAGACATCAGAGTCATGCACATACCTATGATGCACTGAGAAAACAAAATAAATGCAGTTACAATAGAAAAATAAAACTAAAACAAATGTAACCTAAAATTTAAAAAATAACCTCTCCTCACTTTCACTCTGACTGGTTGATTTAAAACGAATCACTTCCAGTGTGCCTGCTTGGGAAAGTTGCCACAGGCACCACAACTCCAGTGTACTGTGAAATACAGTACAGAGAGCTTTCCCTCATGGTGATAGACTTCATCAGCATTGTGGGAACTTGTTTGGCAGTAGCTTGAATGTAACAGACTTTCATTTATGTGTAAAACTCCAGCACCCTAGCTTTTCTTTCAAGTTTAAGTTAAGTTTAAGTTTATTTACTTTATTAATCCCTCTGAGGGGAAATTCAATGTTTTCACTCTTGCTTGTCAATTACACACAGGTCCGAAAGACACACACATGCACAAACAGGACCTATACATGCACAAAGTGGAGAGATGTCAGAGTGAGGGGGCTGCCCTTGGTGAGGCGCCCCGAGCGGTTGGGGGGTTTGGTGCCTTGCTCAAGGGCACCTCGGCAGTGGAGGTGAACTGGCACCTCTCCAGCCACCAGTCCACGCTCCATATTTTGGTCCGGACGGGGACTCGAACAGGCAACCCTCCGGTTCCCAACCCAAGTCCCTATGGACTGAGCTACTGCCGCAGTTTACAGTGACAAGAGTGGCAGATTTACCACTGAAAATTATTATTAATTTTTGGAACAGTTTGGTCCTTGATTTCAGGCAGAGATAGGCAAAAGCGGCCTTTCTAGATTCTATCATCTATTGTACAGCTACATAGGTAATTATGCTAACATCACATCCATGAGTTGACTAAAAACGTTTTCAAGCTGACTCGTTTTCAAAGGAAAATTATGTAAAATGTGCCGTAAATATTAGGGCTGTGACAATAACCGCATCACCGCAATACTGCGGTCACGTGATGCCTACCGCGGTGAAGAGGTCATCACCGCAAAAAAAAAACAAAAAAAAACAAAAACTGATTCATCATGGCGGCGGATCTAGTTCCCAAGCCAAATGTTAAAAGAATACTCCGACAATTTGGGAGTCATGCCTTTCGCTATCTTTTTCATATTGAGACAACATGATGGATACCTAATTATTTTTCCTCAAAGTCAACCTGAGATTCTCACGTTCACAATGACATTATTCGACTTCATATGTGGAGCTTTTAATGTAAAATGGTGATCAAAGAGATGGGCAGGATTTCTGTTTGTATTTGAAAAACATATTTCAATTTGAGTATTTTCAAAAATTCAAATGTAAGTTAAAACAAGATACATTAGAGTGGAATTATTTTGAGAGAGATTTTCTCAATGATTCATGAGACACACAACAAGACTGGGTCAAAATCTAGTAAATGGCTAGATTGTTTATGAAACACTAGAGGGCTTATATTTTAAAAACAAGGGCTTTTAATTTGAAACAGGATGTTGTGGCATTCACTCAGTCACAAACTCACAGATTTTTGCTCTAGCACTCTTGACCAGCTGTTGCGGTTTGTCCACAAACTCAATGTAAATACATGTTAAAATTAAGAACAATACACACAGACACAGTCAGACAGCAGAAGGGACCTTCATCCTCTAGAGCTGTACCCACTGATCATTTAACACAACTCTGCCCTCCCCAGCTCAGCTTTGTGATGGATGTCCCTGCAGGACTGGTGGAGGCTGCGCAGACATCAGCCAGTACTGGAGGCAAGTTATACTAATCATGATAGCTTGTAAAACGTCCTATTGGTGTTAGTTAATAGGCCTAACTGAGAAACTGGTCAACCTCTAGTTTGCACCTTACATTAGAGCAGCTAAATACACCATTTAATCCACTTCTTACACATTTTCTCTTGCATTTTTGGTTTCAGAAAGACTAAATTGGACAACTCATTGACTCTCCTAAGAACAGAAACACAGGACAACAGTCATTACCTATTCTCCTCATCTCTGACAGGCATGGGATCATGGGACAGACCGTGTGAAGCACGCAGGTCAAAACTTCCGAGGGCCTCCTGTAATCCAGACAGAAAATAAATGGAACACGGTGTAACACTCAACGCAAAACATCAGAGCGACATGACAGGAAATGAAGGAATCCTGTGAAAAAGTCTTGATACTGGCACTTGAATTAGTCTGTCAACATTTTTCTCCTGACTGACGGCAATCACTGTCACTGAGGAGATGCCTGTGACTGTGTCTGTGTGGTTTATGCGTGCCTCATAAAAGTGAGCATGTTTGAATGACTTGTTTGCCAGTGTATATAGGCATAACAGGAGGAGGATGTCTTGGCAGCAAACCGTACAAGAGCAATTATGTATCTCTCTCCAGCCAGGCTTATCCATGCCAGACAATCTGCTCTGACAAAGTACAAGTTGGCCTGTGTGCTTCAAACTGCCTATAGGATTATAAATGACAAGGCAGGAGCAAACAACACTGCCACTCCACATATGCTTTATGGCTAGCCGGTGTAACACCAGCCTAACAGAATAAAACAGCTTTATGACTATATGAGCGTTTTATTGTCTCAGGTTTTAACTAATAGAGAAGTTGGGCCGTTTAAGAGAAAGTCAATACTCAGATTTCAGTCTAATTAAGACCCAGGAATGTTTGTGTAAACAAACAGCACTGATGGAAAACTATAACCTTATAAAAAGACTGCAGAAATTACATTGCACACCCATCCCTGAGATCCACTTGGCTGAGATCACTAGAATGACAACATTTTACTGCCCAGCTGAAAGGTCCAGTGTGTAGGATTCAGGGGGATTTATTGGCAGAGATGGAACAGAATATGATAAATACGTGTTCTTTAGTGTATAATCTGATGACAAAAACAATCATTGTATTTTCATTACCTTAGATTAAGTTGTTTATATCTATGTAGGGAGCAGGTACTTGTCCACCATGTTGCACTGCCAGACAGACAGACAAACCGACCATTGGCTTTAAATGGAGTCATTCGCGGTTTTATACCAGCTGCCATAGTTTAAGGCACCTGTGCGATGAGCAGCGCAAAAAAACCCACTGATTTTTAAATGTGAAACTGTTTATTTCATGTTTTTACTAATTTTAATCACTGGGTCCATTTGTTTTGGAGAGCAAGAGACCTCTGCGGATATTTTGGCTTCCATAAGAACCATGTGAATGTCTGGATCAGAAAAAAGGTGAGCATGCATTACGAGGTGCTAGGTTAGCAGTAAAGCTGTAATGCGCTGAACAGCATTGGGAGAACACTGATTTATAATGTAAAACTGTTTTATTCAGTGTTTTTACTGTTTAAATTGACAGGGTTTATGTGTTTTCAAAAGGAGGAGACCTCTGCAGAAAATTTGGCTCCTTATAAAAACCTCCTGAACATCTGGATCTTAAGTTATCAGAGAAAAAATGTGAGCAGACATTAGCATGTTCTGGGCCAGCACCTCGGTTTGCAGTGTAGGAGAAACATTGACATGTATCGCAAAACTGCTTTATTTAGTGTTTTTGCCTTATTTTTAAGGTCTGATTGTTTTGGAGAGGAAGAGACCTCATCGAATAATTCAGCTCCCAGAAAAACCTCCTGAACAATGACCACTGAAGGAATCCTTAGATTATATCTTGGCACATGGGAGAAGTTTCAGCTGGTTGCAATCTGCAGTCCTCACCGCTAGATGCAACTTAATCCTACGCACTGTTCCTTTCAATAAGATACGGTAGATATCAATTATTGTTGGAAAATCTCAATTTGAGTTGACTTACAAAATTTTTCTTCAGGTCCTTGTTTGTGTGATCCACCCCTGAGGATGACAAAAAAGAAAACGTAATAAATGAGTCAAAATCAAACTGTGATCAGGGTATTTAATACTGAGAGGAGACATCTGATGCTCTGGACAAAGAAGTTAAAGAAATCAACTGCACATTTTGATGTTTTGGTATGTCAGAGCATGCCTAAGTGCACTCATTGTTTCATTATTTTCTGTGGAGCCATGTAAGAGCTGTTTCAAGTCATTTGTGGTAGACAGGTTATTAAAACTTTGAAATTTTGAGTACCCTGCTAATTGGTGTAATTAATTTGCCAAACTGTAACGGTGAAGTTTTGTCAAGATCCAGGCTTTGCTGCATGAGGCACTGCACATGACTGATGGATGAGTGAATGAACAAATGGGCACCGAATAATCTCTCGTCCCTTCAAATGTATTCATTTTGCCATTTTTTCCCTTCTTTCCTTCACTCTGCACCTTTCCCTGCATCTTTCTTTTATCATCCTCTCTTTCCACATCAGTTGCCTTTCTTTTACTTGCCCCCTCGCCGTCCTCTCCCTCTCCTCACCCCGACCACCACCTCCTCCTCCTCCTCCTCCTCCTCCTCCTGCATCTCTGCTGCATCAGGGCTCCTGTGGTCTCAGTGAGAGACAAACGAATGAGGGCCCCAGGAGGGCCGCGCCTGCTCTGCCAGACATCACTCACTCTCTCTCTCTCTCTCTCTCTCTCTCAATCACACACACACACACACACACACATACGCACACACATACGCACACACGGGACCTGCCAGCCTTTGTCCCATGCAGGCAGTGCCTCCGGGTTGTCATGGTAACTTGCAGTCGGTTTTGCTGTTGAGGCCTGATTGTGTTGAGCTCAGGCGGGATGGAGCCCTGGGTGGGTGAAGCCTCATTGGAGCCTGCCATGCCATGCCATGCTGTGCCATACCATGCCAGGTCAACCTGCTACGTCCTCTACATAACCACTAATGCTTTATTCTCTCCTTGTCCACCACTCTCGATCTTCCTCTTTACATGCGATTTGTTTTACATTCTCTTTCTCTCTCTGTGTTTTTACCCTGGTTGGCGCTACTGATGCCCTGGGTCTCTCCGACAGTGAAATATATTTTTATTTCCTTGGATAAATACAGAATTTTATGAGTGTTAAAGTTGCATTCGTTCAACTGCTTTCATCCACATCTCACGATCTCCATCCACAGATGCAGTTCAGATTTAAGGTTATTTTGTCAAACAATTGCATTTTACTGTATGCTTATAGCAAGTGTGGCTGAGTACAAGAAAAATGTAGCACCAGTTGATACTGAACATTTTCATAGATTTTTAGTTTCTTATTCTCAAGGGAACAAGAGAGAGGGCTCTCTGGCCAACTTTCCTCCTTGCCTGAGCCAAGTTGGATTTCCACACTGAACACAAGGCCAAGCGAGGATGCTGGGCAGGTTTTTTGCATACTTTTGATTTAAAGAGGTATATCGAGTGATACTGCGCTATGGGCCAACATGATGTCTTCATATGGAATTCAAGTGATTCATTAAAGAGTTATGAAATGTCAGATATCTTTTCCAAATGCCCCCTCATGCTGATCTGTTTTCCTTTATAATCTTCCAGCTTCATCATCAGTGAAATCAGGAGACTCTCTTATATTCCTCTGCTCCAACTCCATCTCTTTGCTCCAGGATTTGTCCTTTTCAGTTCAGAATCTCCAAGCCTTAATTCTCTATGAAGCTACTCTGTATTTTTTTTTATGTATTTATGAAACTATGCACAACAAAATAGTCACTTAAACGCGAAGACATCCCCCCGATTTTTGAGAAAAACATAATACTGCTGAAAAGCAAATGGACATCAGAGGTTTTTGGTGAATAAACATGCTCAAGCATATACCAGGGCCTAGATGTAAAAACAATGTGAATGTGTAAAACCCATGTGTGCACCTACACATAAATTGTTTTTTACAAAAGAAAACTGTGCAGTGACAATGTACGCACAACCTGTAAGTAGTGCTGCAGTCACAACTATAGATATGCAAACAGATGTTTAAGGGCTTTTCTACATCTATTTATGGCATTAGTGGGAGTGGAAATGAGGCACATGTATGTGCATGTGCACCTGGTTTCAACATGACAGAGATTTATAAAACAGAAACATCCATACGTACTGCTTTATAAATTAGAGGAAGAGAATTCACTTGCACATTTCTGTCTGTGTGTACACACAATTTTAGTGGTGAATCTATATATGGTTTTACGTATCCGGCCCCAACTGTTGCTGACATTATACCCCCTTTTACGAAGCCTCTTCGAGACGGGAATTTCACAGCGTTATGCCACCTTGCTGTTCTGTATAAACGGTACAATCGCAGAACGGGGGTACAGAGTTGTGTCGCCTTTAAGCTGGCAGAAGAGGCAGCAACAGTGGTGAAACAACCTCTGTGTAAAAGGTACAGCTGGCAGTACAGGACCATCAACAGGATGGGTGTGAGGTTTACACAATGAGTTAATTTGCAACAAACACCGGGAGATTTTAAAAGCAGCTGATAGCAGTTAGCAGCTAACTCAAAGAGGAAGAACTGCAGCCGAAAATGTCTGCAAATTGGGAAAACAATGAGGTCCTGGCATATAAAAGGGATGGTAAATGATTGTTATCCCCATGTTAATGCCATTGTTATTGTTTATAAAGACCTGCTAACTAGTATGTTTTATGTAACACTTGAGGCCAGTGCTGTTGTATTACATGTCACGCCTCTTTTGATCCATGAAGCTGTCACGCTGTCTAAAATCACACTGGAGCTGTATAATGCCACTGTTGTTTGATTCTGTGTAAAAATGCAAAGGTGGCATAAAGAAGGGAAAAAAAACATTTATTTTACTACCTGAATGGATACAACTACAACTACAACTAAGGGTGAGTGGGTGAATGTTTTTGTAATTTTGGTGAACTAACCCTTTAATGTTCCCCAGTAGCTACATGTAACAGTAAACGACAGTGAAAGCAAGTCTAATCACAAATTATTTCAAGGTTTTAAAGGAAAGAGTGCAACCTGAATATGACATTAAAACTCATTTTGGAATGACCATCTTTTTCAGTCTGGGTGAGGTTCCCCTTAGTACATAACTGCAGCTCTATCAACAGTGGATCTCTGCTGTAACATTAAAATAATTGCTTCTCTGCAGGAGGCAAAGGAGCCTGCTTTATTAAGAGTTCATCTTTGTTTCAACTAAGTTATGAGAAAGATGTCTTTGTGTGCATTTATACGTGTTGTTGTGCTTCTATGTATGTGAGTGAGAACCTGCCAGAACACAAAGACAACCACACAGAGTCACCTCAGCATTTACTTTGTGATGGAGACATCTTTGGGAATTATTAACGTCATGCTGCTTTGGAGGGAACAAGTAACAAGTGAGCAAACAATGGTGGGGGGAGAAGGAACGGAGAGGCAACAGAGGCAGGGGAAGGATGATTGGACCCAAACCCCATTGGACTGACACTGTGTCACTCTGTTACTATGAGTATGAGTGTGTGACACCAGTGACAATGGTAAGAGGAGGTGACCACTTTATAACCTTAAAATAAAGGGATCAATATGCAGTAAGTTGACAAAACAATGCAGGAAAAAAGGCAAATTACAGGCAGCACTAGAAAAAGTAGGTTTTAAGTTTAGTTCAGAACTGGTCACTGGAACTTCAAAGTATGTAGTAGGATAGAGACAAATCCAGCTTCTGTGTGTCTTGATAATTGATGCAGATACTTTAGAATGGGTTTATGTGTGCATATTTCATACACACACATAAGAGGGTTACAATTGTCTAACCTGTCTGAGATAAATGCACTTTTCAATTAACTTTTTAATATTACGTTTCAGCCCCCTAACTCTCAAACCATTTTTTTAGATTACAAAAGGCTGATAACTGATTTAATATGACTACCAAAAATAAGATATGACTATGAGATGCCATCCATATTTCTGGCCTGATACACTGTGTCAATGCGACTATACAGTAGTCCACCTGTGGAAGAGAAACGTAATTTTAAGTGTTGTCTGCATAAGTGTGAAAATTAATGTTATTGCTCTGAAAAATCTTGCTTTACTGCAGCATGTATGGGCAGAACAGAGAGGGACTATGTATTGATCCTTGTGGTACACCACAGGTGGTTGGTCTGATACACTGAAGAAGGCTTAGGCCGAAACGTTTGTTTGTTTGTTGGTTTGTTTGACCGACTGTGTGTTGCCCTAGTAAATTATACATTTTGACTTTTTTGTCTTTTGTGAGTGCTGTTGCCCACAAGTTTTTTTTGGAATCATTCTGCAACTTGCACCCATTGTTTTAAAAATATTGGAGTTGTGCGTCCTCCTTTCTTCAACTCCACAGGTGATGCCGACCTGCTTGGAAGATTGCAGTGCAGATTAAAAACAACGCTTTCTTGCAAATTTCTTGCAAATAGGACCTGCACCAGGACAGGATAATACCCAAGAGCCTAACTTGGTTTATCAACAAAACAGTGTGTTTAACTGTGTTAGAAGCAGCAGTGAGACATAATAATACCAGAACAAAAATTTTGTCAATGTTAGTTTTCATTCAAAGGTAATTCAGGACCTTAATGAGAAGCTGTTTCAGTACAATGATGGGGGCAAAATGCTGACTGGAGATTTGTCAAAATAGTATTTAAACTGATAAAGTTGTTGGTGGACAATTTTCTCGATTATTTTTGTAAATGTGATATGGGTCTTTAGTTGTTATATGACATGTCTGCCAACCTACGGAAGATCTCATTGGCTGGGCACATACATGAATTCATCTGCTTTTGCATGCTTCTCAGCAGTGGACAGGTTTGAATTGGGATTGACACGTGTACAGCATGAGCACATGTGTGCTCAGAGGTGGTGTGTCGCAAGGGTCAATTTGAGCATCAAAACACTGCACCTTCAAGTATTTACAAGTATGATCTGAGTGGAAAAATGCATTCAGTCAGGTGCATTCACTCAGGTGGCACCATACTGCCATAAATACAGCCATAAAC